TATTTCATCTGGAAAAGTAGATTGAGAAGTAAAAGTTTTTGGAATCAAATTTTCACCTCTCTTTCATGGCATGATGTTGGGCAAATTAGTCCAACTCCCCTTGACCTTCTTTGTCAATCAAATGGATGCAGTAGTGACGTGTCTGCCTAACAGAGCTGTTCTGAAGATCCAGTGGTAGGAGATGAACCACTGGGAAGCTCACAAGAGTGTCTGCGCACATCTTCAAGGAGTGCCAGCAATTATAACTGCTAACTAGAATCAAGTATCAATGATAGAGAGAATAATTATCTATTGATTTCACTATCTTTTTTGGATTATTTCACATCACTTCTGTTAGTTTAAAATCTAACTTTATAGGCAGCCTTAATTTATGAAGACCAGAACTTTAGTTTCTTACTTGCTAAATTGGATCTGTTGTCTTTTTATCCCATTTCTAAAGAGCAAGTGATATAGTAAAAAAACAAAACAAAACAAAACAAAAACAAACAAAACAAAACAAAACAAAACAAAACACCTCTTAGTTTCAGAGCTTATCTCAGATCTGGGATTGAATCTTGTTTACTGTACTTGTGTGGAATCACTCATGGCATTTAACAGTAAGATTATAATGCCCTTATCTATAAAACCTGTATAGCAACACTGTACTTAGCTTAAAAGGATTTCATTAGGAATAGATGTAAAATATGTTAAATATCCTAATTGCTATTCCTGGAGTCTTAAATGCAGTTATTCTACAAACTTTAACTGAATGTTGTGATGTCTAGGCAGGACACAAAGTGCCAAGCACAGCGATACACAAAGGCGCAAGCCCAATCCTTGCTATGGCGTGTTGGCCAACAGGTGACTAGAGCTATGCACAAGGGGGATATCAAGAAAGGATTCCTGAAAGGGAACTAGCTGTTGAGGAAATAAGAGGACTAGCTACATGAAGAAGAGGAAAAGGACATTTTGTACAAAAGGAGAACATGGGAAGCCTCTATAATATGAAGGATGACTATTACCTCTTCTCAGGCATCCCTCAGGATGTTCCCATTATAACTGAAGACACAAATATAACTTATGATGGATCTTACTCTGTCACAGACCAATTGAATTGTCACAGTTGAGTGTGAGTGTTTCCCTTTAGAGAGTTAGCAAGCGTTTCACCTTGCACATGGTAATACTGGGAAAGGTTTAGACATCTCCAAAGAAGACAAGTTTTCTGGGGACAGAGACATCTCATGCACAGCTCCTACCACTGTATGGCCACAAGGAGACTACACTGGGGACATCTGATGTCTCTATGGGTTCAACCAGAGTTAGACCCCCAAATAGGACAGTAACCAAAATTCATTCTAAATGAGGTGACATTCAACTTTTTAAATTTGACCAGTAAGCTACAAGGAGTATTACATTAGGTATGTGGGTGTGCTGGGGTCTCAGAAGGCACTTAGTTAAAATTATCACATTTGTATATTTACCTTCATCAGTGGGACCATGGATGCTCAAGAGATAAGAAAAGGTAAGAATTAGCTCATTTTATCTATTTCACTAGGGCTCTTCTCTCAGACTCCAGGTGTGATTTGAATGTGGAGGGAGGATCAGGATAAATACAGAGATTTCAGGGTTTCACTTTCTTTTTTACTCTCTTCTGAGGCTGTGTTTGCCTAGAGCAAATCTGCTTAATGGTGGCCCTAAGAATGCAGTGGGAAAGCTAAAAAGAAACAAAGACCATACCAGTAAAATCACTATCACTTACCTTAAGGGCATTGTAGTCTCAGTCACTTTTCTCTCATTGCTGAAAGAAAACACCTGATACCCAAAGGTAAAGGAGTAAGGGCTTGTTTAGCCCACACTTTGTAGAGTTTTCAGTTCATCACTGACTGGCTCGAAGGCAGGGTGGCGTGGCAGAGGGGCACTGTGGCGGAGAAACAGTTCATGGTGGGCAGAAGGCAGCAACACAAGCAAGGGACAAGACAATCCTCTCTCTGTCCTTATATTGTATTCAGACTATCAGCATTAGGGCAGTACCAAACCAATTGTGGACTGATGTAGTAATCACACACCCTTCTTCCATGCATCACCCACTTTAGATGCAGCCCCCTCAGACAAAGCCCTGCTTATGATCTTACGAGGCTTTAGGGGACCATCTAGACCCAAAACATAACAAGTGTCTACTATTCTTGAGTCAAGATACAGATTCTTTGGCCACCATTTGAAATGAGAGCTGGTGATATTGAGGCACTAGATATGTGTTTGCATCAGCCCTTATATACACTAATGTTTGTGTGGGCACAAACAAATGCATATGCTCACAGGTGAAGCTCCCCTCCATGCATTGATTGGCTGTCACAGGGACATTTTATTTCACTGGCCTTTTACCATGAGGAGCTCCAGTTCACTAAAATATGTTTTTTATCTAGTAATAAACTGAAAATGCCTTTGCAATGGAGGCTTTACCAGTGAAGTCAAAAGGCAAATAAAAGATGGAATATATGTGTCTTGCATGTTGTCACGTTCTTTATTGCATATTTTCTAATGACTAGACTTTCGCCCCCATGCTGAGATGGTGATTGAGACTGGGCGTGGTGGTGTGTCCCTATAATCCCAGTGCTGGGGAGGCTGAAAACAGAAGAATCACTATGAGTCCGATCTAGGTAGTGAGACCCTATAGATCCTGTAGACCCTGTACTAAAAATACATTACAAAATAGAGTCTTTGTTTTGGAAAAATTTGAAAACTTTGAAGAAATCTGTAAAAAGTAAATCAATTGGGCCTCAAGACTTACAAAGGGATTGAAAACTACAGTGAATATAATTTTTTAAAAAAATTAGTACAATAAAAAAGACACATTGCTATTAATCTCCTTCAAAATATTCCCCCTTGCTTCTAATATGTATTCTTGCTACTTTCTAAAGTGGTTCTGGAAACCCTTTCACATGAATGTCTTCTATGAGGTATGGTTAAAAAATACCATGAATAGTGCTATCAAATTCTATCTATTAAAAAGGCATGATTGTAAAAAAAATTATGGTGTAACTTTGTCCACTATATTTACTGAGTTTGGCACTGATGGCTTCTGGGTCTCCTCCCAATGTCAAAAGGACCATAAAGGATCAACATTTTCAATCAATTCAGGACATCAAGTCAGCCATGATGGTGCAAATAGAGACACTCATGAAAGGACTTCCGGAGCTGCTTCAGAAAGACAAGAACTATGGGATAAGTCCATTTGAAATGAAGCATTTTTTTTTCTTCTGTATTTAGGACAGAGTCTACAGGGTCTACAGGGTCTCACTATGTAGATCGAACTCATAGTGATTCTCCTGTTTTCAGCCTCCCAAGCACTAGGATTACAGGAGCATGCCACCACGCCCAGTCTCAATTGCTGTCTCAGTGTGCCCCAGGGTGTGGGGCCAGGTGGCACACTGGGGATCGAACCTTGGCTGCTGCACTGTGCCTAAGCAGGAACTTTAGTCTGCTGAGCTATCAGGTCATCCCTGAAATGAAGTATTTTTGAGGGGTACTAATAGCAATGTGTCTTTTACTGTAATACATTTATTAAAAAAATTAAACATTTTCCCTCTTAAGTTTTTTAATTTTATTTCTAAGCATGAAGGAAGTGGTTCCTATTAATACGATGGTGAAAAGTTGGTGGGGCAGTCACTTTAGAGCATAGGTTATATTGGGATAGCCTCTTCTCCCTAGACTGACCTTGGCTTCAGTTGCCATGTTGGCAGAGGCTGAGGCAGCAAAACATATCAAGCCACAGTTGGTAGGATCACTGGCTTCATTTATTTCTGTTCTTGCTTTCATAAAAATTAAAATGCCCCAAAACCACAAGAAATAAGACTGTAGATTTTCTTTTGGTTCCATTCTTAGATTTTTTTTTTTTTTGTTGTTGTTGTTGTTTTTTGTTCTTTTGGTGGGAGACAGTATGCAGGTAGCAAAGAGACAGAAAAGAATAGCCTAAGATTTTTATATTTTGTAAGCTACACAGAAGAATAGCAGTCTACTTCTCTTCCTTTCTTGCTCCCCCTTTTCACCTAATAAAACCCAAAGCACAGTAGCCTAGTGAACCTTCTCCGAGGTGCTCAAAGGTGGAATTGCATCTTTTAGTGTCTGGGTACATATTGCATTATAAGGCAGCCTTATTGCTAACGTTTTCCCAGAAAGTTTGCACAGCTGTCTCAGAGTCAACCGGCAGGGCAGGAATGCAGCTGGCAGCATGTGGAGAAAATATTGTTTGCAACATTCTTCTGGGTGCAGTTTTCTTTGATACTGTTCTCTAAGGTATCAAGCCTGGTTTTTCATCTTTGACAAAAGAACAGTGTATTATCAAGCTTTACGATGCTGAACTACATTTGGGGTGACAAATGAATTCCTTTGGGAAGAAAGTATTGCATAGTGGAAAGGACCAAAGCTTTGCATCCAGGGCGATCTGGGTTTGAGGCCTGTTTTCATCATTTACTTGCCCTGAGATGTTTGGCAAATTAATTTTTCTGAGTTTTCATTTCTTTAGCCACACAGTGAATTATTTCAATAACAACATGAAATGACATACACTAAGGGTGTAGTTGGCACTCAGTGTTTCGTAGTGACCACTAATAAAACCCATTTGGCAGCTGGAGGAGAAGGGAAGGAGCTGAACCTTGTGTGGCCTGGCATAGCCAGGAATTAAAGGACCCCAAATTTGGGCAATGGAGAGACATCTACAATCAATACGTGCAGAATTATTTGCATTTCCTCCTATTTTCTAGCTTAGCGATTGTAGCCTTCATCTTGGATACAGCAAAGAAGGGTGCCTGGCACGTATGCCACAGTTGGGAGGCAGATGGGCCAGGCTTACACACTCCTGAGCCAACTTGCACGTTTCTCTGTTTCCTAAATTTCACACACACACAAGAGGGTTTTGAGTTGAGCCTGCTTTGCTAGTATGGACTACATAGGGTTTATAGCACCTAGCACACTGCATGCCCTTCTCCCCAACCCTCCCTCATTCTCTTCTCTTATTTCTTTAGAAATCATTATCTCCAGGGTGCAGCTGTCACAGGTGGAGCATCTGGGAAGTACTATTACACCCTCACCTTCGCCGTCACCTTCCCGCACAGTGAGGACATCTGCTACCTGGCCTACCACTATCCCTACACATACACAGCCCTCATGGTAATTCCTTCTGACAGTGCTATCCTAACTGGAAGGCAGGCATGGGAGACTCTCTGGGGTTTTCCTGAGAATATTCCAGAGACCCTGGCATTCTGGGTGGCTGGGTGGGGGGAAGTCTTTCCTTCCGAAGGGGGCCAGGTTTTCTTGTCATTGAATTGGTGGCTTTCAGTCCCTTTCCCTGAAACCAGCAGGGAGCTAAGTCATGTCCAGTATCTTTCTAAAGGCCCTGGTTGTCTACAGGTTTAGTGTGGGAGGCAGGGACTTTTCTTAGAGGACCTGTCATTAAAAAGTCCTCGAGTTAAGCACAAAGCAGGCAGATATAAGATTTGGCTATGACAAATTGAGCTGCTATAAACATGGGTGCACATATGTCACTGTGGTATGATGATTTCTGTTCTTTTGGAAAAATTCCTTGGAGGGGAATAGCTGGCTTGAATGGGACCTCTAATCCTAGCTTTTTGAGGAATTTCCATATTGATTTATACAATGGTTGTACCAGCCTGTACTCCCTTCAACAGTGGAGAAGGGTTCCTTTTTCCCCACAGCCTCTCCAGCATTTGTTATTGGTTGATTTCTTAATGATAGTCATTCTTTCTGGGGTGAGATGGAATCAGGGTTGTTTTAATTTGCATCTCTTGAATAACCAATGGTGTTGATCATTTTAGGAATGGATAAAAAAGATATAGTATTTTTTTTTACACAATGGAGTATTATTCAGATTTAAGTAAAAGATAAATTTGAGGCTTTTGTAGATAAATGGAAGCAGCTAGCGACTATATTGGTAAGTGAAGTAAATCAGATCCATGTGTCTAATCAATGAATTATTTTGCTAGTGCAAGACTCTGGAAGAGTAATGAAAGTCTAAAAGGTACAACAGATACTTTGAAAGGGAAAGAAATTGTTCAGTGAAAAGGAAAAA